TCCTTGACTTAAAATTTTCTAGCATTATTTTCTCATTTTATTCCTTTCTAGGTAATTTAACAAAAAGCTCTGCCCAGAGTCCATCTACCACAATTACTTTGTGGTCATTCCTGATGGTACATAATTGTTTTGTTTCATTTTGTATATGGCTAGAACCTAGCCTATCTCCTGGTGTTCAGAGAGGCTTTTGACAATTATTCCGGAGAAAATGTGAAATGGTACAAGCAGCATTACACATGAAGTTGGTCATAGTAGTAGTTAACATCTCCCCATTTCCTATACCACTCCCATCCCCTAATAGCCACTATTCTTACTCTCCTTTTTTTCAGTACTAGATTTTTTTTTTTAACTCAGGGCTTTGTGCTTGCTAGGCTGGTATTCTACCACTTGAGCCACATACTCAAGTCTATTTTTTGCTGGTTATTTTGGAGATAGAATCTAGCAAAGTTTTCTGTATTGGCTGGCCTCAAAACACAATCCTCCAGATCTCAGCAAACTGAATAAACTAGGGAATATAGGCATGAGCTACTGGTGCCTGACTTTATTTCTATGAGTTGAACATTTTTCAATTCCATTTATAAGTGAGTTTGTGCCATTTAGCTGTTTGAGAAAAAGAAATTCTAGGGTTGGGCTGTAACCCAGTGGTAGAGTACTTGCTTAGAATGTGCAAGGTCCTGGACTCCATCCATAGAAACACATATATACAGACAGAAATTTTATCATTTGTAACAACATGGACGAGCAGAATACCATAGGCAAAATGAAATAAACCAGGCACAGAAAGACAATTATCTGATAGTTTAAAATAGACACAATAATTTAACTATCTCATAAGTACTTTTCTATGTTTCCCTAAAAGATCGATAATTACCTTCTTGTTTAGAACATCTCATTGCTATATCATCATCATCATTACCACCACCACCATAAATTGGCATATCAAATTCACTAATAGCATGTTTCCTAAAGTCATGTATAAATGCCAGAGAAGATGGAAGATATTTGCAACAAATGCTAATGGACAAACTAAAATCACTTATTTTTCAGTTTTCTGATCATAATTGATAAGGGTTATTAGCATACATTTTTCATAAGATTCATATTTTGCAAGTTGACATAAATCTCTCGTTTACTAACATATAGACATACAGCTCAATAGCAAAAAAAATTAAAAAGGTAAAACAAATACATATGGTAGAAAAATAAAATGTAGTCATCTGTTCTTGAGTCAAAAAACAAATCTCTTTGTGAAGCTCTGGCAAGGTCTTACAGACTCTTAGGTTACTGTAGCCCCTAAGATGACCTGGCTTCTCATAAAAGAATGCTTCTTATTTATTAATTGTATTAGAGAGGTTGAAGAGGAGAAATAGGAGATAAAAGATTGGGAAGGGGCTTCAATCATGGTTGGATAAGTTTAACATGAATGGATTTGCATTCTTCCATACACAGGAATTGACATAATCTGGAAATCTTTATTCAAGTTAGAGGAAAAAATATTTAGGAGTTTAGTTCTTCAACAGTTACCTCTTTGGGCCTCCTTGGGACCCCAGATTCTCAAGCTAAAGATATATCACTGGGTTAAACCACCCGACCCCCATGTCTTCCCACGGTGTGGTTAATGATTACACTCAGTTTAATGTCTAGAATCCCATTCCCAGACAAACCACTTTAAGTAGCAAGCTTTATAGTATGTTTCATTAGAGATTATGAACAATGATTAAGCTGAAGCATGAAGTCTTCATAACGATATTTAAAGTTGGAGGCTGTTCAATTGAGTGAACAACCTAAAGTACAACTCAGATTCCCACAAGCTTTGCAGACAAGGCAAAGTTTTATGGCTGTAACACATTCTTCCTTTCTCTTCTCCTCCCCGTGGTAGTCTATCCTGTCAGAAAGAAATAAAGCTTATCCAAATTCCCCTAATGAAAATCCAAAGAGTACAAGGGGTGACATTGATCAAGAAGCATGGCACTCATAAACTGATTTGTTGAATGGTGAACTCCTTTGTTCCATTACTTAAATACAAACATAATTTTTAAAAATCCAAAGCAAAGTTGGCATATTTGAGAGGATTCATTTGGATAGCAATCCAACAAGCAAACTTCCATTCTTTGGGAAGGCTTGTATTGGAGTCTGACTTCAGATTTTTAATTTGCATATTTCTTTTTAAGACAGTGTATGGACTTGTATTCCTGGATAGGTCACTGGAGTAAGGTGAGCCTGATCTGCCCTCTTTTGCCTGTCCTTTTATTTATGACCAGTGACTTCTGCCAGATGATTAAAGGAGAAGAAATAAAACTCCAAATAGATCTTTGATCTTTTTTAAAATATAAATATGGGGAAGGGGTAAAAAATGTGACAGTATTAGGGCTTAAACTTAGGGCCTGAGGACTGTTCCTTAGCTTTTGCACTCAAGGCTGGCATCCTATCACTTGAGCCACAACTCTACTTCCAGCTTTTTGGTGGTTAATTGAAGATAAAAGCCTCACCGACTTTCCTGCCTGAGCTGCCTTCAAACTGGGATCCTCAGAGCTCAGCCTGATGAGTAGCTAGAATTATAGGCATGAGGCCGCATTGACTTCAAAATTCTTTACTACTGGGCATTAAAAATAAGGATCAGTAATATTCAAGTAGATCAAATGAAATTCTACTCTGGTCTGTATTAGAAATCAAGAGGCACATGAAGGTTGGAGTAGAGCAGGAAAAAAAAAAGCAGTCACAAGGAAGCATGACCAAAGGCTAGAGTCTCAGTTGGATAAAGAATAAGGAATTTTTATCCCAGGTACTGGTCCCTCATACCTGTAATTCTTAAAATCAATCTACACTTTGGGAGCAGAAGCTCAGTATATGTAAGATGGAGTGATCAATGGCACAGCTGCTGGCTTTGCAGGGCACTTTGGGTCTATCTATCTATCCTCCAGGCCTGACTCAGAACAAGGCTTCTTTGCTCTCTCTACCTTCCAGGGTTATTTTTGCTCTTTCTGCCAAATCCAAGCTGTGAGTCTTTCACAGTTATGAGTCTCAAATGTTCCCTTTTCATCAAATTATAGACAACCTTCTCAAAAGCTTACTCTTATATTTAACCCCATCTGTACTTCCCTAAGCATCTCTAACACAATTTTCATTTACCTGCCAAATAACACCATGTACTTTTGGGGGGGGGTTAGTTACTGGAAGGGGTCAAGTGCTTCCTGTCTCTGTCCCCACGTTAGGGTCACAAAGGAAGAGGAGCAAGACTGGCTGTCAATTTAGTGTCTCTTCAATGATGAGCTTCATGATACAAAAAAAATCAAAAGCATGAATCATAGAAGAATTTTGAATGTCAAGGTGATAAGCACATTTGAGTAACCATGGCTGCAGTAGAAAGTAGGTACCATTCCCCAGACTCTCAACTCATATATGATAAGAGCTCTGCAGTGTGCTCACATTATACCTTGCTCCCAACACAGTTACCAATATATAACAAGGGATCTGGAGCCAAACAGCCTGTTCCCTTCCCACATATATATATATATATATATATATATAATGTACCAAGTTCCCTTACACAGTACAAGAAACTTTGCAGTCTAGGAAATTATTTAAGAATGTCATTATTTGGAAAACTCACTACATGGATGGAGTATGTGCTCAAGGATGAATAGAAGAGTTTGTAGCTCTAGGTCAAAGCAGAAGGAATCTGAATGCCCACAAAGGTCTTTGCAACAACACAATAAGCCAGACACACTGAACCAAACAGCTTTAGCCACAAAACTGAATCTCATCCATCCCTTAGAAAGAGTACACATTGCTTCAGGTAAGAGATTGTGTGTAGCACACTCACGTTTGCTCACTCAGCCCTCTGCACTGTATGTTATAAGCATGTGGGTCATGTGGCAAGCAAAGCAGATAAGATAGAAAAAATAAGAAGAAAGGAAGCAGAAGTCACATGCAATTAAAAGTGAGAGGGTGAGCCATGGTGCTACCTGGAGAAGGAAGTATACATGTAGAATCTGAAGCCCCCATTGCATGAGGACAAGGTCCCCTACAGATTGAATAAGTAAAGGAGGAAGACTGGACCTGGTAAGTTGGCATTGAATATGGAAGCACAGAATAAGATCTGAAACTGGACTCTCTTTCTGGCTCCCTCTCTCCCCCATCCTCTTTCCTTCTTCCCTCCCCAATTTCCTCCTCCTGTCCAAAGTGCATGCCAATTAGCATCATGGGCTTCTCTCCGATTAGTGGAAGAGATCCAGTCCTGCCATCAAGAAAGAAGAATGGGCCTTCTCAAAGATAAAGCTCATGGAACGGAAAAGCAATGACACATTTGAATGTCAAGATGGCAAGTACATCCTAGTTACTATGACTTGACATTAGTAAGTAGGACCATTCTGTCTAAATTATAAACTATCTAAAAACAGTCTGAGTCTACCATGAACTTGGATGAGGGCCCTCTGGGAGAAGGTAAGAAATGCTAACTCCCAGTGCACAATGGAGATTTCCAAGCTAGGATGGCTAGGACTCAAAACCATGTATTTGGCAAAACCCAACAGAAATACAAATGGCTTTCTGCAGTTTTAAAAAGAATCTATTGGGAATAATCAGAATGAATATGCTTGGAGCAATTAGGAAAACAGAATCATATATTCTGGTATGGTAGGTTTACTAATGTGGTGGGATTACTGTAAGAATTCTGCATAATCAACAGCCAAAGTGATATTTCTATGGAAAAATTATTTTGAAATTTCCCTAGGGAGTCCAAAAGCCCCCACACTCCATTTCTGGTGATGAAATGAAGGGGTGGTGTTTTTCAAAGCAGAGTGAAGAACACAGTAGGGTTTTGGGGAGAAGCGTCTTGGGTTGAATATCAATACTAGGAATGAAACCTAAGAGAAATGAATTCAAATGTCTGACTACCTTGGGAGTAAAGGTGGGGAGGAGAAAAGTGAAGAATCAGATTTGGGGGGTTGGAGGACACACTGCTGAACATGGTCAAGCAGTGTCTTTCCATCTCTTCCTACCTCCTGTGCACTTCAAATTTCTTCTTTTCATCCCCACCTGGCCCTGTGGAGAAGAACTGAGAAGAAAAGAAAATACACTACAGCAGAGCAGAAAGAAGGAAGGACTAAAGGGACTTGCTAGTGAGAAATAAGGTAGAAGACGTACAGTATTCTATTTGGAGATAAGGAGTAGATTTTTCGCATGTAAGATGGGCATTCATAAATCAGAATCGGTACATGTAGCTCATGCACTGGTCCAAAGTAAAAAGAAGACATAGGGCTGCCCAGAGAAGAAAAGCAGTTAGCAAGTTAAATTAACTAGTCTTTATAAATGCTGTTAGAGCAATATAGAGAGAGCAATTTTATATATATATATATATATATATATATATATATATATAATGGTAGAGTGCTTGCCTCACATGTATGAGGCCCTGGGTTCGATTTCTTAGCACCATATAAACAGAAAAGGCTGGAAGTGGCCCTGTGGCTCAAGTGGTAGAGCACTAGCCTTGAGCTGAAGAGCTGAGGGACAGTGCCCAAGCCCAGAGTTCAAACCCCATGCCCGACAAGAAGAAAAAGAAAAAAGGAGGAGGAGGAGGAGGAGGAAGAGGAGGAGGAGGGGGAAGAGGAGGAAGAGGAAGAGGAGGAGGAGGGGGAAGAGGAGGAAGAAGAGGAAGAGGAGAAGAAGGGGAAGAAGGAAAAGAAGGAGAAGGAGGAGGAAAAGAGGTATTTTCAATCCAATCATTGTACACACCTGTTACTCTTCACTAGGCCCAATGTTTTCACCAACAATACTGGAACCCAGAGTAAACATATTGTACTACAATGTTTTGTAATTCCCACATCTCTACTTCTATTATAGACATTCAGGTTCTGTCACCAAATTCATGCAAGATGGCCTGCTTCCAACAGGTGTGTACTCTTCAAACAGAACCGTTACCAGAACTAATTCACCAATTTGCCCTTTATTTTTTTACTTGCTCCAGGTATTAACTGTAATGTATAAACAACCTGAAAAAATTAAACTCCTCTCTCCTCTACGCTATAAAGCCTATCACTTTCATGGACAACCAATTTGATATATAATTGAAAAAGCAAAATGACAAAACAAAAATACCAGTTATTTTAAACAAGGGCTGGGAGTAGCACTTCTTTCTGTAAATTATTTGAGTAATGAATTTAACTCTTCATGCTTTTCAACCGTTGCACAATTAGAATTGGTTCCCTATGTAATTTCTTCCCTAGGGAGACCTAGTTGGTGTTGTTGAGCATAATCGGAATGTGAGAGGAAACGGTGAAAGTTAAGGAGAGTCTGGAGCTCAGGACTGTAACTGAGAAGAGTCTCTTTTCCCTTGGAGATAACGGATGGGTTTTACACATATGAGATGTATGTTCACAAATCAAAGCTGCATACTAGCTTATGCAGACAGACCTAAAAGAAAGAGGCAGACGACATGCATAGCAGAACTCCCAAGTAAATGGAAGCACCTGATTAAGAGTAGCAATCTGGGCTGGTGGACAAAGGCTCATCAGGATCTAATTAACCCTTTCACTGTCTCACTGAGACACTTGAGGCTGTTACTGGTTTTTAATTTTTTTTTCTTCTATAAACCAAGGACTTAGTTATGAGATTCACACATGCATTTGCTGACTATGCTCAAACAAACTTTAATACAAGTGTTTTTCTGACATGGCAACATTTAATTGTTTCTTTTGAAATCCTCAGGGACAGTCACAGTCACCTTGATCTTGGTTGTTTAAATACCAAGCTATCAAAAGCAAGTTAGGATAAAGGATGGCATTTTGGTAAAGATTTTATCTAACAGTGCATACATTCTTCCTACCCTTGACAGGGAAAATTGTCTTTGGATTTAGTTGGAGAACAGGCAGCTTGAAAATGAGTAAAACTGGAATATGTTCCATTTAATCCTGCATGTCTTAGAATACCTACTGCCTCTTTATTTATGACAATTACCCAAAGCAACCTCCATCTTTTCCTTAGAACCTATAAATGCATATATCCCATTTATATGCATTTGAGAACCCTACTCTTATCATTAGAATGCTATACAAGTTTCTGATACACACCATAAGAAGCAGAAAAGGCACTTTTCTTTATCTGAGCTTTCAAAATAGAATTTGCATTACCTCTGTGTTAATAACTTCCATGGGTCTTTTCTTAATATCTCCTATATCCAGGTAACTGGAGGAAAAAACAAACAAATTGTGAGGGTTACTGCTCTTACAAGTTTCAAGTCAGTTATGTAAATTCCTTATCATGTAAACATGATTTAAAAAAAAACTAAAGCATGTCATAAAAAATACAAAGTCAACAGGTAGTAAGAACTGCATTAATTCAGCATCATCAACCACAGCTTATGCATGTCTACTGTAAACTTCAAAGGAATCAAGTCTTAGAAATACATACTTCTAAAAGGGAATCTTAATAGTTAATTAGTAACTATAGAAAGTATATTTCAATTTCTTCTCTCTCTCTCTCTCTCTCTCTCTCTCTCTGTGTGTGTGTGTGTGTGTGTGTGTGTGTGTGTGTGTGTGATCCTTTATTAGGGCTCACACCCTCCTATGGCTTTTTCACTCAAATCTTGTACTGTACTATTTGAGCCACACCTCCAATTCTGGTTTTGCTCTTTAACTACAGATAAAAGTCTCCCAAACTTGCCTGCCTGGGCTGACTTTAAATCATTGTCCTCAGATCTCAGCCTCCTGAGTAGTTATGATTACAGGCATGAGACACCAGCGCCCAGCATATGAGCTTGATAAAGAATGCAAACTGTAAAGAAGCTTAGCAATTGGACTAATGGAAATACTGAAAGTATATGTTAAAGTAACACATAGGAAAGAATGGAGTATCGTTTTCCTATAATGGTACAGAAAGGCTCAGCCACCTGGGATGGTTGAGGAATTGTTTTAGCTTAAAGAGTAGATAAGTTCTGGAGACTCTTACTATATTAGTACTAGTTAAAGCAGTTATTAACTACTCATCGTTTACTAGTTACTGCATAAGTACAACCCACCAAGTTGTCCAAAACAGTTTATATTGGAATTAACTATTGTAATGATTTATTGTGGCTGATATTATTTGCCTTTTTGGAAAGAATGCTTTAGTTAACTGATACCCCTGGAAAAGATGTGTATTTCATTTGAATAAACAGTAGTTACATAATACAATGCAAACACTCTCTCTGTCTTTGCAATAATGGGTCTTTTGTGAATTTGCAAGAAGTATTTCTAGCAGAATTCCAAAATACACTGTCATGTACAAAAAAGTTATCTCAGAGCCACAAGATTAATGAGGTAGAGTCAACCCCCACAAAACACAGGGTAAGTTTGGGGATAATAGTCTCTAGCAATTGCTGCCAAAAAATAAAGTAATAACTTGAAGTATAAATGTGATTTGAAAAATATTAGCAAACTCTAAACAAAAAAATGATCCTGCAAGCAGTTGATCATTTCCATTTGAGAAATGTATTGCTATCTTCCCAATTTAGGGTCTAAGCAAAAGACCAAATTACCCACAACATCTTTTAGACTCTCTTTTTTTCTGCTATGTTCTTCATTTGTTATACAAACTTATACTATTAGGATTCAAATATTCTTGGAGTAAAATTTTCTTGGCCTCTATAATTATAATTATAATTATAGATTCTGCTATTTGAACACATCTATAAAAAAATACTAGCCAGCATGGAAAACCAATCATGGACACTGTTATTTTAAATTCAGTTGGGGTGTGTGTGTGTGTGTGTGTGTGTGTGTGCACGTGCGTGCACATGTGTGTATGTGTGTGTGTGTACCAAAAGCAAAAATTACCACCTATGTCCCTTATATACATATAATGATTTGTTCTTTGTAGTTGGTTTGGTTTAGAACTGTATCTTTTTGTCTTATGAGTTGTGGTGCCACATAAACAAAACCAAACATGGATTACAGAAGCGAGCCTACAGTTTTCAACTCTATTTTCTGGCTCAGATTCTGAACTAGATTGGCATTCCCATTAAATTGCTTGATATGGGAGTTGTTCAATAAAAATATATAATAGACATATATATGTCTACCATTGCTATAACACTTTGGTGTTTATAACCACATTCACATCTGTAATATTTACGTTTACAAAAGCCCTGTGAGGTAGAAATGGTGTGCTCCTTTTCTTTCTTAAGAAACTGACTAAGTCCAGCGATTGACCCAAGGGCTTCAATAATAAACAGGTAGCTAAGCCTCAAGTCTCCTATTTGACGCTCTACATTTCTTTTAGACAGTATCATTTATCAATTTTCTATGAAAGTAGACCACTTCATAGAGGGGAGAAAATAAATTCAAATGTATCCCTCACCTTCACACTAAGAATGCTTGTCTCAGCAGAGCAGTGCACCTCAAATTCAACTTAAGTAAGCTTAGGCAAGAAGGGATAATTTTAGAGAAGCTGATGACATTTGGGAAAGTGTTGCAATATAGTTAGAAAGAAAATTTCACAAGCATGAATTATGGTAAAGATTTTTATTTTTTTTTACTATCTTTGATTTCAAGATGATTTTTCTTTTTAAAAAGAGTCTTTAAATACTACAGAATATAGAATTACCATCTATTCCAGCACTTTCACTTTTGGATACATACCCAGGAGAAATGAAGAATGTAAACAAATGTTCATAGAAGCATTATTCATGGTAATCAAAAAGTGAAACAACTCCAATATTCATCAACTACTTAATGGATAAGCAAATGTGTTGTGTCCATGTCATCTGAAATGTTATTCAATACTTTAAAAAAATGCCATATTGGTGCATGCTACCTATAACACAGCATAGATGAATCTTAATATATTTATGGTAAGAACACAAGACAGACAAATACTATTGCATAATAGTATACTATTGCATAATTACATTTTTATGAACTGTCCGATGCAAGGAATATCTGGTATGAATGAGTCTCCTGGTAGCCTTCCTGGTAGGAACTGAGCAAAGTGAACCCCATCTTTGCATGCCTAACCATCAGGTTGTTGGAGACAGACCAGCAAACATATTTTAAGCCAATAAATTTTTTTCCCAAACATTCTGAGAGTAGTATTAATGTAACAGAAGTTGGAAGGAGAATCATAGCAGTGGAGTTGTTTTCATTCTACCTGAAAGGTTGGAAGAATTAAGCAAAGGAGGGGGAGAAGCAGAGCCGTTTGCACTTGTGGAGTTCATATAGCCTCCAATACTTGGAAGTAGTTACGAAGGATCATTGAAACTAAACAGATCCGTTCCAAGAAAAAGTGGGAGAGAAAACAAACAGGAATTGTAGAAGTATCCATTTGGTCACTAACTTTGTCCAGGATTATTTTTTCTTCATCTGTTATTATACCTTTTTTGTTTTTGTTTTACACTTGGATATCTACTGCTACTCAAGCAAAATTCCTTCTTGGGTGAGTTTCAACCCCTACCCCCCCAACTGCGACTGGAACTTGGAGAAACACCACACCGGCAAGTCCCAACCCCTCCACCCACCCAGATGTGGATGGGATGGGGGGGGTCGTCCACATCCGCCTATCACACACCGCCGCAGGACTCACTTGAGTTTCTTGAAGGCTTCCGGGCCCCCAGCCACGTAGTTGCCCCCACTCTCGATCTGGTCGAGCTTCCGAATGCGGTGACCGGTCCGCGGGGTGTAGATATTCCTGACCGCTCCAAAGGGCGCTTGGACCCCACCGGTCACCTCTTTCAGGAAGACATCGAAGCTGGACACCTTCTTCTCGTGGATGACAACGCGGCGCCCCGCAAAGAATGGGTCCCCGTTGCGGTACACCAGCACGCTCTTCACCACGGGCTGAGACAGGTGGCTGGACCGGGCGCTGGTGCCGCTCATCTTCCCCGCGGGGCGACACCGCAGCGGGCGCTTCCTGCTGCCCCCGGAGGAACCCACCGCGAGGAAATCACCTCCTGAAAGCAATGCGGGGAGGGGAGCGGTCAGACCCACGAGGGATGGAGAAGGGGCGCGGCCTTCCACCCGGCGGACACCCTCGTAGGAGCTGCGGGACGCAAGTTCAAGTGTTTCACCGGGGCGTGCGCAGCCGGCCAATCAGCGCTCGCGGGGGCGCCGCGCACCTGCTTCTCCGGCAGCCGGCGGGACGGCGGCGCGGGGCGGGGGACGGGGGGCGGGGGGGGGGGCTTTGAACTCCTGCCCCGAGCGAGGACGGGCGGGGGAGGGGTGGGGTGGGCACCCGGACGAGCTCACACTCACACACACTCACTCACAGATTCACTAACATGGCGAAACTCCTGTTGGAGCAATCTATCTGGGTCACTTCAAACAGCGGGACTTTTCTCTCGATCTCCTATTCGTTTCCCATCCCCCGCCACCTTCCTCGCCCGCCCCCCCCACACACACACACATAAAGTAATTAAGATACTGGCTGAAGTGGTCTAGATTGTTCTTTGCCGGTCCGGCACCCGGCCCGCCTCCCTAAGCAGCGGTGCGCGCTGTCGAGGGTCAGGTGGGCATCTCTCGACCACCGCGGGCAGTGAGCTGCGCGCAACTGAGTTCCCGGGAGGGAGGGAGGGAGGGGGCGGGCAGTGGGGGATGGCCCCCCACCGGGAGACACGCCCGCCAGCGCCGGGGGAAGGGGGCCGGGGGTGGGTACCTACCCAAAGACCGCGATCGACTGCGGAGGGCTGGTGGGGGACGCGCGGCGCGGCGCTGCCCCGGGCGGGGCGGGGCGCAGGGTGGGGGAAGGGGGACGGTGCGGGGCGGGGGCCGTGCTGGGGTCCGACTGGGTAAACTCCACGACGTCGGCCGGCCTGGCGTCGCTAGGGCTGCCCCTGCCCGCTGCCGTTACCTCTGCGGGCCTGCCTCGGCCCCGTGGGGGGGAGAAGAGTGGTTGTTGGATTGTTGGTTGTTGCTGGTGGTTGGTTTTTTTTTTTTTTTCCTTTCCTCGCCGTTTCCATAGCTACAGCAGCCACGCGCGCGCAGAGAGCCAAGTCCATGAAGCAGGCCTGGGCGATGCCTGGCCACCTCTGGGCTTTCCTGGCGGCCTCTGACACAGGTGCAGAAGGAGTTGAGGGGCTTGGGAGGGATGAAGCGTTATCCTGCGGCCTCTCCACGAAGGGATGCTGCGGTGTGCCAGGCCCCGGGCCCGGAGCCGCGCGCCCCGCCGGACAGGTGACATCCTATGGCATTTTGAGTGTCTCCCAAGCGGATCTTTTTGCGGAAGATGGGAAGGTCTTTGCAAGAAAAGGATAGAAAAGCTTAGACCTCACAGCCCTAGAACTCACAGCTATGCTGCTTGTGTAAATTACTACAACAGCCAAGTGCTTGTAGTTCAGGCCTTGTAATCCTAGCTACTCAGGAGGCTGAGATCTGAGGATCACGGTTCGATGCCACCCCGGGGAAGAAAAGTCCCAGTGAGACCCTTATCTTTAATTAACTCCTCAGAAGCCGGAAGTGGAGCTGTGGCTCAAAGTGGTAGAGTGCCTACCTTGAGCAAAAGAGCTCAGGGACAAAGTCCAGTCCCTGAGTTCAAGCCCCACAACCAACAAAAATAAATAATTAGATCAGGAGGAAGAGTTTTGAGACTATTAAAAATTGTGCGGTTCTTCTCTGACTATGTTCCCTTACTAAGATTGTCAATGTCCAAATTTTTATAACCAAGTGTTCCTAACTCATCATATGGGCGGGGGGGGGGGGGGGGGAGTGACAGTTAACGGAATACTCACATAACCGTGTACCAGGCTTGTTTAGTCACTTGCATAGATTGCCTAATTTAACATAATAATCTTTAGAGGCAAATGTACTGTTCGCAGATGGAGAAACTGCCCTGTGGAGACACCAAAGAAATTTACCTGATGTCAAACTGATTTTAGCCCAATTCTGTCTTATTCCAGAACCCCCTCGCAACAGGAAATGTGAATGTGTGAGGTGTTGCACTCTGGAGCAGGAATATTTTGATTATAAAGTCGTGGAATATGTTGATGTCTTCAGAGTTACCCAGTTTCCACAAGAAGGTCAAATCGGAGAGAATGCTACATAGAGAATGTAGAAGAGGGAAATTCTTTGAGCTAAATGTGGGAATTTAAGAGTTTAGAGTAGAAAAAGAAAACAGCTGTGCCTGTTTTGAGGACTTGGAAGGCATTCAACCAACGCCAATACTCTCAACAGCCTGAAGTTCCCTGCTGCTTGTACAGCCCAGTACAAAATGAAAATGTGTGACCCCTGGTTCAAAAATTAAGAATTTCAAGAAACCTATTTTATGCTACTCCTCTGATCAGGGGAAGCTTTTTTACGTATTATCTACTTTATAGATTTACCTATTGTAATTATACATCTAGCAATTACAATGTATTGTAAACCCTTATATAATTATATATTTCATCTTTGCGTAATTAGTTGTGATGTGTATAAATTCCCTAAGGGAAAAGCTACTGTCTATTTTATTTATCAACCTCTTACCAGTCCCAATATTGCTGATACCACATAAATATTTCATGAATAAGACATATTGGAAAATATATTGTTTGAAAATTAAGGGGAAAGAACTGTAAAATGCTTCTCTGAAAATAAAAAGGTTCTGGATGATTGAGAATCTACAACCAATTGCTTAGGTTTGGACAAAAGTTACCCAGCTGTAGGCAAAGGAAATGCTACACATGATGCTAAATTCTCTTACCAAGTATAAGAGAAGTTTTGAGAATAGATTTTGTTTTTGGTTTTGTTTGTTTCTGAAGCTGGGTATCAAACATAGGACCTCTCTCATGCGAAGCAAGTGTTCCACCCCAGAGTTCATCCCCAGTCCAGAGGTATGATTTTCTTATCCTGCTACTTTTCTCTTAAAGAATCTTACCTTTGTAATTGGTTTTCACATCTTGGTCTCTGAAACAGCAAGAACTTTGGTTTCCTGAGACTCAATTTCTGCTGGATATACAATATCCAGTAATGACTTTCTGATAGGCTTGAATGCTTCTTTTTAGCTTTTCTCAGTTGGACTTGATAATGACTAAAGTCTTCATAGCCATACACTAGGTTGTCTAATCCACTCAGCTGCCTTCAAAGTTCCTAATAGGCTAGAGTGTGTAGTCAGTGGCAGAGCACTTCTGCAGCATGCACAGGATTTGAGTTTGATCCCACGCACTACCAAATAAATAAACAAGGCTTCATAGCAGCTGTAAGAACCATCCTTATTTAGTACATAACCAAGTCTAAAACCAACTCAAGTAGATTCTTCTACTTGAGTTGCCTTATATCTGTCTCTTCCCATTCTTGTTGCCCTTACATTGGTTTAGAGCTTATTACAAAGCGCTTATTTTTTAAATTACCATATAACTAAAGAGTTAAAATAATCTTTAAAGTCATTTGCTACTATTTATTTCCACTTAATTGTGTCGTAAGTAACCACTATCTCCTAAAACAAGAAACATTGAACATGTTTTACAAAAAGTCATAAATTTCTGAAAAAAAAAACATGAAATCCTAAAGAAGCTGTAGCTATTTATCTTTAAACTCTACATAAATGGAATGTTACATCTCTCTAAGTTACTATTTCCTTTCTCTGAAAGAAAAAAAAAAAAGAACACATGCAGTGTCATGTTGAGAGACATGACATCAGCGAAAAGCTTTGCGGTTCCCTGGAGTGTGACTTGCAAGCCCAGCATTGAAAGGGCAAGTTTAGAGGCAAGGTTAAAGAAAGCTGAGAGAAGGCACACAGAGAACTTTTATCTTCTCTTCACTATAGAAAATATTGTTCTTCCAGGCTTTTCCAGCACTGAATATAATGGTAAAAGTAAGTGAGTAACTGTGTATCAGATGAATAAACAGCACCTTTTACCAGAGTGAAAATGGTACAGGTATGAAAGAAGTAGAAGAATGTACTTTGAAGACAGATGCAGCCACTGTGATGTGCCTGTATTTTATCCTTGCTGTAATGACTATGTGTTTCTAGATGGTTTCTACTGTTCTTGATCCTTTAAAGATAATGTTGGTAAACCTCCATTCCCAAATATATGGTGAAATAAATATTCTGGGTCATTGTCTTTTTTTTTTTTTTTTGCCCGTCCTAGGGCTTGAACTCAGAGCCTGGACACTGTCCCTGAGCTTTTTTTTTTTTTCTTGGGGGAGGGTGTTTGTTTTGTTGTTTTTGTCTTTGTTTTGTTTTGTGGGCTCAAGGCTAGCATTCTACCACTTGAGTCACAGCTTTGCTTCTGAATTTTTGGGGGGGTGGTTAATTGGAGATAAAAAGTCTCAGACTTTCCTGCCCAGGCTGGCTTTATACCACAATCCCCAGATCTCAGTCTCCTGAGTAGCTAGGATTACAGGCGCAAGCCACCAGCACCTGGCTCAGTTTCCTTTTAAATCATACAAAATGTTTGATTTAAAAAAACTAGAACTTTTTGAATGCATTGCCTATTTGACAAAAATGGAAAGAATTCAGAAAACCTGAAAACCAAGAGAAAACAGACACCCTGAGAAGGGAAAATGCACTGAAATCAGCTTTAACCCTACTTACACCTGCCCGTGCTTTGGTACACTGAACAGTTGTTCGGTGGTTGCCCAAGGAGAAAAGTATAAGAGATGAGTTTAAGGCCTCCCAAGGTGGAGAGTCCAAGAGGGCACCCCCATGCAAATGTGCAACCTTTAAGACCTAGACTAGGAGTGTAATACTGAGCAAGAAATTAACCCTCTTCACAGAACATTTCTACTGCAAAGAAGAGATTTCTTCTTCCATTTGTGCTAAAGGCAAAAATGGATAGGGACGATCATAGAATGTCACCTAACTCATAATCACAACAGCTGACCCCAGTAGCAATACACTCATTAACTCTATCTCTATAATATTACAAAAATGAGACAAAAGGAAAAGGTTCACAGATGGCTGACAAGTCAGCACAATCCTACCTGAAGAACACAGCTTTTACTCGGTCTACAAACAATTTCCACAGATTATTTCTAAGAAAGACAAATTCACAGTCAAAAATACATCAAACTCAAAAATAATCTATGAGTTGCCCTGAAGAAATAACAGATAAGAACTAGACCTATAAAAATTCCAAATACTGGAATTATCAGAGACTGAATTTTAAAATAATTAGTATATCTGAAGAAATAAAATAGTTGAAAACAGGAAAAAGGAACAAGAAACTAAAATAAGTTGGGTTTAAAAAAATAAAGTAAGGGCTGGGAAGGTAGCTCAGTGGTAGAGTACTTGCCTTGCATGCATGAGGCCCTGGGTTTGATTCCTCAGCACCACAAAAGCAGAAAGAAAAAACAACCAGAAATGGTGCTGTGGCTCAAGTGGTAGAGCACTAGACTTGAGCTGAAAAGCTAAGGGACAGCGCCCAGGCCCAGGGTACAAGTCCCAAGACCAACCAAATAATAATAATAAAGTAAGATATCTAGAAATGAAATGTATAAGTAAAACTTGAAGCTCAAGGAAGTTACTAATTTTTAGTTAGTCACATCCAAAGAGAGAATTGTTGAAATGGAAGCATATACTCAGAGAATGTCCAGAGGATAGTATTGACATGAATAAATAAAAAACAGGAAATGAAAAGGTTGGAGGATAAAGTAAAACTATTTGTCATATATCTAATCAAAAAGACAATAGTCTTTCTCTTTTCCTCTTCTCCTCTACTCTCTAACTTTATGTTTTTTCCCCTATTCCTTCCTGTGTCTCACCAGTGGGAAAATTTCCACATAAAAGCTGCTCCATAGGGCCTAC